AATTGGGTGACCTATAACAATAGCCAATTTAAAACTTTCTGTCACTAAAAGTTGAAACTCCTGATTGTAACCCATATAGATTTAACCTCCTAACTACAATTTTTCTTTTATGTCTGCAGTCCCAACAGGCCACAGCTAATCCCTTATACAGAGTCACTCCACCCTTTCAAAAAGTCTATCAGTATAATTAACTTAATTATGGATTTCATAATAATTTCTGTAATCATTGTTTTCTCAATGTAATTAAGTTTTAGTAATTCCCATTATATCATATTCTTCCATTTCAACTGAGTTCTGAACTTATCTGTTTTGTTCCTGATACTTATAATATTAGTATACACTTTTAAGAGTAATACGCTTATTAAAGAATCTACTATGCTTATCTTTAATTTGGAATTTTCTTTATTACTAATATTTAACTTATGCTCTAAATTCTTTTTTCCCTAATCAACTCTGTCTTAGGTATTCTGTCAATTTGTTTATTTTGCAAACTTCCTCATCACTATTGCAAATTTAGTTTAACAGATTTTTTTATATGAAATGCTTTAACTTTTTGAGACATCCTGTTACTTTCTTGCTTAAGCGGAATTCATCTTTGATATGAACAATTCACCCTTACCCTGAAAACTGTTCCACAGGTCCAACCAGCCTACCTGGTAACCTTTAATTTGAGCTTGGACCCTGCTAAATACTTCATTCTTGCACGTAGCAACGTTGCACTGTTTCTTTATTTCACAGATATTTTAAAGATTCCATGCAAAGAATAACTACATAGAGAAAAAATATATTTCTTTTGCTAGTTCTGTTTTGGGTTTCTTTATTTCACAGATATTTTAAAGATTCCATGCAAAGAATAACTACACAGAGAAAAAAATATATTTCTTTTGCTAGTTCTGTTTCAGGGAAATTTATACCTGAAGCATCATGTCTGAGAAAATAATTGTATAATTTTCTTATTAAACTGCACAAGTACAGACAAACTTGTGTATAAAATTTAGTCTGGCTATATTCAACTGTGGTTGTTTAATTGGGTAATTCTTAGTATGATATAGTTACTTATAAGAACTGAATGAAAGAATAAGATAGTGTAGTAATATATTAGTTTACTAAAACATTATAACTTGAAAATAATGGTATGGCAAATAAAGTATTTTAAGGTTCCTACTTTCAAGAGGCATAACTTGAAAATTGGTATACAAGTATAACTAGCTTTTTCATGCTGGTGGTCTATTATATACATAATCATTTAAACACATGAAACCTTGTTTTTGTAGATAACTTAAATACATGATTAATAATAATAATGTAAATTAAATTGTTTTATTGAAATTTAACCCATAAATTTAACTTTTTGATTTAAATTCATAGTCTACATGAGCTTTAAACTATCACTTTTAGATTAAAAACAGTTCATTTAAATAAATTGGAGTATGATAATTAAATAATTATTAATTTGTTGTTGTTTTTTAACCAAGTTCTAGTGTAGTTAAAATAAAATGATGAAAATTAAGAGGTTTTATTATTTGTTAACATAGCATGCATTCATTACCTAAAAGAATTTACATTAGGCATTAGGAACATTTTTCATATAGTGGAATGATTGTTAAGATTCTATGTGTACATTGTTAGCTGTTATCATGCAATGTTCAATATGAATATGCAAAGTCTAGGTAAGATTCATTTTGAGATTGGGTTGTAGAGTTATTTTATGTGACTAACTAGGATGATTCGTAATTTAATTTTTGTTTAAATTTTAAATTGGCACATTAATATATTATTGCTGTAATGTATTCTTGTAGTGGTATTATATGTTGACCAAGCAGGTTCTCCTATTCCTTATTTTGTAGTAAATGGTGATTTAGTTTAGAATTCTCGAGCAGGTGCAAAAAAAAAGAAGAGATTTCATAGGTTTGATCTTTGCATTATCAATTCTTTTTTCCAAGTTTTTTAATCGGTCATATGTTTCATTGATTTTGTTATTACAAACTTTCTGTATTTTGTTGATTTTTTTATATTTCTTCAGTTTTGTCATTACAACCTTTCCATACTTCTGTGTTTATTCAGTCTTATTGTTGTAATCACTCTTAAGATCTCTAATAGTTTCATTGATCTTCTCTCCTATTTATTTTTGTTCTTAATTCTTATTTAAATACTGTCTCTTTC